TCAAGCCATAACTGAGCCATATAGTTATTAGTCAATTTTAAGACATGCTAAAAACAAGCTACTGAATTTAGAAGAGTAATAAAAACGCTGATCACAGATTTTTCTTGCACATAATTTAGATAGTCAGCATGCTACAGACCAAGTCATGACAGTTAGCATAAGCATTTCATAACAAAATTAGGCATCAACTGAAATGGTGTACATTAACAAAACAGGTTAATTATCATGCCTTTCTTAATTAGCTAGTCTCAATATAAATGAGACTTAAACAAAAACAGAACAAACATAAACACCAAAAACAATCAATAAGTATACACACTAAATGGCTATGGAGTCCACTGTCCACTAGTATTTATGTGCACACACTCTAGTAATGAAGCTAATCTCAATACATCCCTACTGCACACAGAGGTCCACTATTCTCATTAGAGATCCATTATTGGACATCCTTAAGGGATCAACTATTCCGAAACCATTGGGTTAGCTAGGCTCTAAACTTTGAATTAAAGATCTCTATTTGAATTATATAATTGTAGGGTGAATTCATTAGTCTTCAGAAATGGGAAGAACTGTTTGTGAAATTTTGTGAGAATGAGAGAAAATTACTGAGAAGTTCAAACCCTTTTGTTTAAAGGTGTGATGATCTTTCTCGTGATTTTCTTATCCAAAACTTTTCTTTATGCCCTGGTATTTCTATATATAAAAAATGCAGTTGACAAGGTTGAACAATGCATTTTTATTTCCCTTTCCCTGATCTATTATTTAACTAATCTTTGTTTTGATATAGGTTATGGAAGAGGAAGAAAGAAAATTCAATGAAGAATTCAGCAAGTCTTTTGAAATGTGGGACTGGGAGGTACTTCCTTCCAATCATCTTTTCTTTTTGGTAGTATTTAATACATTAATTACATTTATATCACTCTTTATCGGACTCTTTCCAACTCCTCTTAAATTTCACTTCCAGGAAGATGAAGCAAACCAGTAGGTCCAGTACTGGGACAAGGTTGGTAATATTTTGCTGCATTATCTTTTAATAATGTTGACATTATTCTATTTCTGAAATTTCTCTATTACCTTTTTCTTAACCTGCAGGGAATGCAAATTCTTCTGACAGACATTCCAAAGGTATAGAAAGCTTGCTGCTTTATTGTTTGATGATGTTGTAATTAGTCTATTCCATGGAATTATCGTTTTAACTTTTATTTTATTTTATTTTAATTTATTAACTTGCAGGAGCTGTTTGTAACTTCAGATGAGGTATATATAGATGTTATGTTGCATTTATACTTTTGACATTTCTAATTATAGAACTACTAGTGTTTTAACATTTTCTTAACCCGCAGAACCTTGAAATTAAAACGATTCAAGCAGGGGGACTAGAGGCTGTAACTGCCATGAATTCAAGTAGCTCTGGGGAAATGGGGATTTTACAATTGTCACTACAGCAACTTGAACCTTGGCATGGGTCAAGGACTTTGGTGCACTTTGCCAGCCCACCTGGGGCTGCAAGTGCACTTTGCTGCCTTAATTTTTGAGGGCTAACTCTTTTGTTTTGAATGTGACAGCAATTGGAACCCCATTTGAGCGAGCAGTGGAGTTTAAGAGAAAAAGAGACGAAAAACTGGATGGAGCCTGTTCAGGCAAAAGGCCTGCAACTGCTTACACTACTCCAAGTCGTCCCCCAATTGGTGGGTTTGTGGCTGAGGCTCGCCAAAATTGCCATCCGTCAGCGGCTGCACTGGCTACTCAAGGAGCTACGTTCTCAACCAACGAAGGTACATAAATACAAATGAGGGAAGCTGCTCATGATAAGGAGGCCTCAACCTCATCATGGGCACCATCGCAGGTGGAGCTAAGGAAGTTCAGATAATAGATTATGGCTTCAATCTATAACTGAGCAATATGTAGTTAGTAGTCAATTTTAATACATGCCAAAAACAACTACTGAATTTAGAAGAGCAATAGAGACACTCATGACAGAAACTGCTCCCAAAATAAACAAAATAAAAAGGAAGCTCCGTGACTAGGTGATGAGCCCTTGAGCTTGCAGCTGAGTTTTCACCTTCCCTCTTACTCCTAGCCTAGGGCTGCAGCTAACTTTTTCTCCAGAAACTGCTCTATGTTTTGTAATGGGAGCTGTTTTCTAGTTTGTTATTTTGAAGATTTTCTATAGGTTCTACTGTTTAGGATTTTCTTGTACGTTATTTTGCTGTGTCTTAATTTTTTTTATTTTTTATTTGGGTTATATCTGCAGTTAGCAAGTTGGTATTATGTGATCCTATTGTCTCTGCTTCAGAGCCTCATGACCGTCTTGCCATGCTAGGAGAAGCTACTGCTACTGCTGGATCCTCTGGTGGTCCCACCACCCAGTCCTCCCCACACAATGAAAATTTTGAACTTTATCTTCTTCCCCCTTTTATGTCATTTCTTACGAGATATGTCACATGGATGATGCAGGTTTTTATGTTTATGTTGGATTATGGTAGCTATGGATAGCTATTATTTGGAATGATTTGAACTTAATTACATGAACACTAATCTCGTCAGCAAAAGTCGTTATTTTTTTTTTTTAAATATCTCATCTGTTTGACTTTAATAATTTTAATTTAACTTTTTAGGCATACATTTCCTTTCAAAATTAACCTATTATATAAATGATAATTAAAAATTATTTTAATCAAATAAAAATACTCAACAAAAATTACATATATATAGGTCAAAATTTTAATTGTTGTTCCTATAAGGTTTAATTTTCTTTTGAAATTTATATATAAAAAGTTAAAAAATTAAATTAAACCTACTAGAATTGAATAGTGAGTGTTTACACTATAAATTATGTTTTATTAAGTAATGTTATATGTTAATGGGTAAGATGAAGTCACGTCAAATTTATTGGTCGAGACTCAAATCACTTGCTACCTAAAAATTGAGTTTGGGGAACAATGATGATTATCTAATTAGTTATGGTTTTTTTTTTTTTTTTGATGGTAAATAGAGAATTATATTAAATATAAGGAGATTATAGATGAATCTCTAGCAGGGGCATTATAGCCAAATTAAGGATAGAAGCGCAACCTATAGCATTAGTAACAGATTTAAACTATGCCCATGACAGATATGGACAATTAAGCGAAGAGGGCCATCTGCGACTAAAGATGGTAGTTACAATCGCTGTAAAGGCAAAAATAAGGCTACAATAGTAGAAAAGGAGGTCGCTATGAGTGTCTGAAACTACTGGAAGTTCTCACCTATTTAGCCAGCTTCATGGGGAGAGTAGGGAAACTTGACATCAACAGTCCCTAATCCGCTAGATGTCATCCCGTGCTACTGCATACTTCAACTGGTAGGGGGGTCATGGCCTTTAGCCGAGTGAGCTAAAGCCACCCCTGTATTGTTTATTAGCACTTTAAGGGCTCGTTCGTCTTCCATAGGTGTGAGACAACTTCGCCGCTTGTTCCGAGTCCCATTCTCTGTGGTCCCTGTAGAACCCACTTCCCGAGCTAACCGTTTCCAGCTGCCCTTATTTGCTTTGGCAGTGGTCCCTTTTCCTGTGTGGTTGCTCATGTCCCCAAGCTGGTGCGACAAAGGAACGTCCACCAGCTGTACCTAAGCAATTGGAGTCAGAACAGCTCGAGACGGATTTATCTCAACCTCCAGGCCCATGTCAGTTGTACCATTCTCTATGTTTCCCCCCTCGACCTGCCCGGTATCCTTGTTACCACTCACCACTTGGCTTCCACAAAGGGGCAAATTTGGAGGGGTTTGGATTTCTACATATGCAGACTGCTGTGGGTCATCTGCTCGCCTAGCAGCCCCCAAAAACTGGGTATTTTTGGAGAGCGAATCATCCAAAATAGCAAAGTCATCCAGACACCATGAGTTCTCAAATTCAGCCTTTAACCAACTACCAAAATGTTAGATAATCTTACCACCTACATCTTTAATACAGTGAGTAATTTCACAATCACTCTCAACATGACCCAAGCACCCACATACAAAACAAAACTCTGGAAGTCTTTCATATTTAATCCTGAGGTTCCTACTTTCGGTAACAGTAAGTTGCGAAGTCTTGAACCTTCGCAGTGGGTTCTTGATGTCCTATTCGATTCGAACTCTAATGGCTTTCTTGAATCCCTCATCCACCTCCAGGACTCTTCCTAAAGAGCTTCCAATCATGAAACCAGTCTGCTCAGAATGCAACCCCACCAGGACATCGAAGATCCTGACCCAAAAAGGGTTTGTAGAGAAATTGTACTGCTCTGGAGTTAGGGAGGCCTGAAATCTTTTGAGGATGAGTAGTGAGTTACTAAAGTTCCAAGGGCCCCTATGGATGACTTTGTTGAGATCTCCGATATCAGAAAATTGAAAAAGATAAATTTTTTCACCAATCTTGAAAATTTTGAAAGCGTGCTTAGGGTTCCAAGAGGCCATTAAAGCATTATGTAAGCCATTAAGGTTAATCCGCCGTCGGGATAGCAGTTTCCCGACCAGCCGCAGCCTACCCACATTAGCTTCATTCTGCTTCCACATCGTATGTAGGGGAAGAATCCCATCGTCCTTCTCTGCAATTCGAATTTGGCTGAGCATAGACCCAATATCCTCTGCCATGGTGGGTTGCTGTTGCAGTGGCAAACACAGGGTGATGGAGAAGAATCTGCCTTGCCTAATCAGATCTGCAGATACAGAGAAAAACCCTAGAGGAAACAGGGGTTGATGGCGCGCCTAACCCGGATCTGTAGGTGCACAGTCCGACGGTGGAGAAACGAGGAACAAGAAAGAGGAGGGGGGCTCCGCAGCCGGAGAGGAAACCCGAAGGAGAGGCCCGCATTCACCAATACCCTAGCTTGCAGAGTTTCGGAGCACGGGAGAACTAAAAATCAAAAGTTTAATTAGTTATAGTTTAAATTGAAAAGAAACAAAAAATCCTATAATTTAGGAGAAAGGGCAGCTGAGGGGTTGAAGCAGCAATAAAAAGGTATAGGTGGCAAGATTTAATGCAACCTTGACCTGGTCTTACTAATGCGTTCATTTTCTCTAGGAAGTTATCCATGTTCTGTAATAGCTAGCGAGTGAGGTGGGATCACAATTCGTAGAAAATCAATAAAAGAAAATTTCAAATTATTAATAGATGGCTAGCCTTGCATGCAACCCAGAACTTTTTTTAGCATTCTCAAATTTTTGCTTTGGTTCATAGATTTCATCTTCTAGCACAATACTTTGTAGATTCTAGGTTGTTTCCAATATTCAAATAGCTAAATTAGTTCATGTATTCGCGTGTACAATTGTATTTCATAAAATGAACAGCGAGTATTTTAATTTTCACAAGATGCTATCCTTTTTTTTATTATTATTCATTTAAATATATGATCAGTAGTGTTTTTTTATAAAATGATTACTTATATGGTGTTCATTTTTCTTTCTTGTTTTATTTTTCATGTTAGTTTAATCTTTGTTCATACATTTTTGATGGTTAATTAGTTTAAAATTTCTAGATTTGTGGTAGTTTAATTTGTAAATCTGTCTATAGACATTGGTTAATTTGACTCTAAACATAGCAGTTCTAATTAAGATGCGTTCATGTTCATCTTTTGCAGGTCTACTTTAGTTTACATTTCATTTAGTACATCTAGGATCTATTAACTTTAAGTTCATGATATTAGCAAAGTTTTTGGGACTGTTCGAGGTAGATTAGTAATCCATTTTGCAAGAAAGCATTCTTCCCTCTTGCAAATCAGCTAAAGTCGCAGAGCTGGATCTTAGACCAATGTTCTTCCATCCATTCTAACTCCCAACAAAGATTGATTGGGTGGAAGGAGAGGTTGTTGGAAAAATTCCTTTTTCTTGCTTTCTAAAAAAGTAAGTGATACGTTAACATCTAGATTTTTCTTGTAAGAAACCACTTGAGAACTTTTGAGAAAATAGTGGGAGTACTATTTTCAAGTTGACTTGCAAGAAAAAAAATGAAAAATATTAATAAAAAATATAAATATTATTAATAAATTAACATACATGAATAATTTATTAAAAACATTTAAATAATTTCAGAAAAATTCTTTCAATTATTTTTTCTCCTTGGTTGATCTGAAAATCACTTGTATGTTATTTTTTCACCTACTTCTTTTTTTTTTTTTTTCTCAAACTCTAATCTTGCTCCTGCAATAACGATACTAACTTGTCAAATTTTTAGATAAGCCAACCAGAGGCAAGGAAGACTAAAAATGAAGAATAATATTAATGGATCAAATTAAGAGGGTAAAAGTTTCATATTCATAAAAAATGGGCATTTGGATGCCCAGAAAAGATTTGATATGATCGATGATTTCTAGAGATTGGTAAAGCCCATTCTTGAACGAGTAATTGGAGATATCATAGGAAATATGCGAAGGATCTTGAACGCGACCAACAAAAAACCAATCAGCCCCCAAATCTCGACTTATATGGAGGAAAATGGTAGATATAACAATTGATCTCAGGCTCCGTTTGGTATAGCGGTTAGCGGTTTTGAGATAGCGGTTAGCGGTTTTACCTAAACCGCTAAATATAGGTGTTTGGTAAATTTATATATTTCAAAACCGCTACAACTAAAATGTTTGGTAAAATTTTTATTTAGCGGTTTGAGACTAGCAGATAGCGGTTAGGGTCCAAATCGCTAGCGGATTGAAAAAACTAGTTTATGTAGCTTTTTGTACCAAACCATTAGCGGATTAGAATTTTTTAATTTTATTGACAAATTTATCCATTTTAATTTTTTAATTTGTGGTCACATTTTTTAATTAATAATTATCTAATAAATTTTAGTTTTGTTTTTTTACCTTTAATAACATTAAGTGATTATAATATTT